TTCCCTACAATGCTCTCACTGAAAGAAGCAAGGTGCTACATCATCACTTCCATTGTTTTTCATTTGTTGGAAAAATCTGTATCAGTACAAATGGTTACCAATATAACTACTACTCTTATTTTCATAGCTGTCCCAGTTAAAGCAGAGTTGGCAGTTGAAATTTTGGAGAAAGGCCAGGTCCGGTTTTGGATGCAGGCTGAGAAGCTGTCTGGCAACGCCAAAGTCAACTACATATTTAACGACAAGGAAATTTTTGAAGGGCCGGTAGGTTTTACACTTTTTAGATTTCTAAACATATCATTGTAGAATGTGCTGGGAAACCCCTATTAGAATGCAGATAAGTTGTAATGAAAACCACTGGACGTGGGGTGAGGGGGTTTAAATCATTTCACATGTGAAAAGTGTGGAAGAAAATATAGATTGATTATATCATATTATCCAAAACTAGGATACTTTTGAGAATGAAAGAAGATGCTAGTAATAATTTTTCCAGGATAACAGTCATCAACCAAAACTGACTCAGGCAAATCAGGAAGTTGGTCACCTATGAAAAAAACTGAAGGCAGAGGGGCCAGCACCCTTGCCTGAACACAGATACTCACATCAGAGACTCCAGTGGCGTCTTGGTTCTTCATATGGAAGAATTGTTCTAATGGCTCAGAAAAAAATGTAAAAAAAAATCGCATTGCTTTTCTGATTAAAAATGCAATTCATCCTTATTGTAAAAAACTTTAAAGACTCAGAAGAGACAAACCACAAATTCTTACAACTTTTTGATATACATATTAATATATACTTTTGGTCTTTTTCTATACTTCTATGTGTGTATGTCAATTTGTGTATTATTTACATAGGTGATTATGTATATCATATTTACTATTTCTTTGCTTTTAATGTAAACATAATTTCTATAGATAGAGTTACAACATCTGCACTTTATCTGTCCTCCCCAGACATCAGTAGAGCCAGCATCAGGCTTGTGCCTGGTGGTACTGAAGAACTTGTGTTTAGGGGCCCTGTCTCATACCTGTCTTCTCATGGGTGTAAATGGGAGACTAAAAAGATGGGGGAGAGGTGTGGTTTGTGGCCATGATTAACAACCTGTTCCCCTTTCATCAAAATGTGTTTTTAAAAGATATTTGAGGATTCATTAGTTAGAGGGAGAATGAGTAACATGAATGGCAGAAGAATACGCAGTATATTACTTTTCAACTCATGTAGTAACTGTGTGCAGAGCAGGAACAAGTCACACATGGGTCCACTGTGGCCCATCTCCCTGTTTTCAAAATGTTCTCATCCACAGCGGTGATCACCATCTGGCCAGTGGAGAGGAAGGAAGAGCCTTGTTGGCATCACTGCCACCACAGCCATTGAGGGAACACTCGTGCCCATGTGTGTAGAGGCACTCCCCTTCATGTGTTCACAGACGCGTGTGGCGCATGTGCGCGCGCGCACACACACACACACACACACACACACACACACACACAGAACTTGAAGAGCAGTTTATTGTCATTGCAGTTGGTTCTAATCATATTATTTCACTGGGTGGAAATTACTGTCTTAGGTCAGGTTCCCTAGGAGAGTCTGAAATAGAGTTTCTCCTTCAAGTGGTTTATGGGGGTTACTCTCAGGGGTAGGAGTGAGGGACACAAGCCAAGGTATGGGGCAAGCTAATCCAAAACGGGGTCTCTGTTGAAGACTGGCTCCCTGCAGGGGAAACTCCAGGACATGAATTGCACCACAGAGTTGATCCCAGACCTGAGCCTTCATTCTGTGACATTATATAGGAAAACTTCATTAGTTCAGATCTGTTATGGAACTTGAGCTTGGAAGCCCAAGGACTAAGACTTACCTTTACATTGAAAAAAAAGTTGCTTAAGGAAGATGATAAAATAAGCACAGTCTAGCAGGGCAATATCTGTTCATTAAGAGCAAATGGGCTTCCAATGCTTTAGAAGCATTTTTATCCATGTATTAATTCAGCAGATGTTTATTAATTGGCTGCTATATTCCATGCTTGTGCTACATGCCAGGGGTATAGCAATGACTGAGACAAACACTTCTCTCACGTTGCTTATAGTTGTTGCATTATTCTGTTAATTGAAAATAATGTAATCTGGAAAGAAAAATGAGAATCTAAAAACAACTTTTCGATAACATTTTGTGGTTTGGGGTAACAAAAGTTTATGTTTAAAAAACTAAACGTCAGACTTTTAGTAATCAGTTCTGGTCACCATCATATATTCCACAGAATATTTTCCTTTTTCTGTGTACAAGATTTTGAAACTTTGCTCACTTAAAATAATGTTAACAAGAAACTATTAAATTATGATACTTTGGAGTTTGTGTGTTTATTTTATATGGCTTATTGTCATCCTATCTATCTCACTTATTTCTCTCTTTTACTTGTCACATTGAAGAAATATAAGATGCATATTGACCGAAACACTGGTATAATTGAGATGTTTATGGAAAAGCTGCAGGATGAGGATGAGGGCACATATACTTTCCAGGTTCAAGATGGAAGAGCAACTGGCCATTCTACTCTTGTTCTCATTGGAGATGGTAAGTGTTCTGTGAAACATTGTCTGGAAGATTTTGCTACTCCCTTCAATGCAAATACGCCATCGCACGAAAGTGACCATGTGGGAGGAAGTAAAAATTATTTCTTGATTAGATTCCAGTGTTCAAAGTGCAATTTGCAATTAATACTTTCCATAGTATTTCATTTCATAGAATTGAAAGTTAATTTAAAAGGACACCAAAGTTGTCACTGGCCCACAGGCAATGCTGCACTTAAATTATCTCATATATAAACAAGTATTTATTATTAAAATTCTCCAGTGAAGGATATTGCAATACAACCAAGACAGTATTATGTGTCAGAAACAAACTACGATACTATCTAATAATGTGTACATACTTTAAATTACTTAAATGAAGAAGATAAATATGCAAGAGTAGAGGATGCCAAATCTAATGGATGATTATCCGTTAGAACTAGGTTGTATGACAGCTGTCATAAGCCAGTGTGGAAATCACCAAGATTTAAAATGTGATATTTAATAAAGCAATGGAAAGGCTGGCCAGGTCTCTACATTTGCAATAGCCAAAGCTATTTCACTATTTCCTGACTTCATGACCTTGAACAAGTTTCTTAACCTTTCTAAGCCTTTTTCTTCATCTATGAATACTGAAAACAAATAGGGTGGTCATGGTGTATGAGTGTTATAACAACGAATATAAATCACTTAACGCAGTGACTGGCATGTACATTTATACCACTCAACTCAATTTCATATTTCCTCATTTTTCAATTTTCAGTTTATAAAAAGCTCCAGAAAGAAGCTGAATTCCAGCGTCAAGAATGTATCAGGAAACAAGGTAAACATAGGCAGTGAATAAAGAGAAAAGCTTCAATTTCTTGAACAAAATATTCCAAGATTATTTCCGTAACAAATTAAATGAATATTATTGCTTATGTTAATAATGACCTGGTTAATAAAAATAATTGAAAAAATATTATTAAATATGTATCCATTTAAAACATTTAAAAACTAAATCTTGAATTTTTAAAATTTCCCTTTAGATGTAAATCACCTTAGAATTTAAGAATGAGCTTAGATTTTTGCATTCATGATTAATATTGCTGATTGCTGATATTATTAAAATTTTATAGGTCCACATTTCGCTGAGTATTTGAGCTGGGAAGTGACTGGTGAATGTAATGTACTGTTGAAATGCAAGGTAAGAAGTAGATAAATTTCTAATAATTTGATACAAGAGAAATAAAGATAAAATAGAATGTGAGAAGAAAAGGAAGATCAACTTTTTATCTCCTCCATTTGCACCAAAATGATAAGTGACGTGCCTTTACTGTTGAATGTTACTGTTGGTTGGTAAGAAATATTTAAAATAAAACAACATAAAAATATGGGAAGTCAAGATGATAGTTTTTACTCATTACTCATGCCCTAGTTAATAAGGACAGACTCTCCTTTTTTTTTTTATTAAGACCACTTTTTTTTAGAGCAGTTTTATGTTCACAGCAAATTTGAAGGGAAGGTGCAGAGATTTCCCATACACCCCTGTCCCTATATACACATAGCCTCGCTCATTATCAACATTCCCACCAAAGTGGTATATTTGTTACAATTGATGAACCTACATGGACACATCATTACCCAAAATCCATAGCTTACATTAGGGTGCACTCTTGGAGTTGTACATTCCATGAGTTTGGACAAGCGTGTAAAAACATGTACCCGTCCTTATAGTATCATACAGAGCATTTTCACTGCCCTGAAAAGCCTCTGTGCTCTGCTTGCTCGTCCCTCACTAACCACACCCAGCAACTCTTTTTCAGTTATTAATCTCAGAAGAATCTCTCATCATCTTCTTTGCATTCTAAGTGGTAGATCTATTCCAGAATCATTTCAGCCACACTGTGTTTCTATGGAAGTTTGGCAATTTTTAAAATCTAAATTGTGTGACTTGCACAACAGTACCTTCGAGTCTTGGGCAGCTCTGCTGCTGCTTCTGAAAGCCCTGTGCTCCCTTGAGGGGAGAGGTTTGGTAAAGAGTTTGCAGCTCACAACCAATTATCTTATTAGGCCTTTGAAACATTTCGGAAAAAAAAGTTCCACATCACATTCTAAATTATCATGTACCTGAGTGTATGGTGTGCAGCTCCGTGAGTCATCAAATATTTTTGGATAAGAACTGCTGGATGAGGTTGGAGTGTGAAGGCTGTGATGGTGGACAGTGACCCCAAAGCAGATGCACAGATTTGGTGTTTCGCACGTAGTTGTCATTATAAAAGCCAGAATGCAAACACTCCAGTCTCTGCTAGATCTGACAAATTCAAAGAAACAGCGGTCTACCAGAAACGTATAGGAAAAACCAGTGCTGGATTTTAGCCTCTTAGGAAATGGCAGAGCTTCTTGAAAAACACTTTCTCAGGCAGCAGCTAAAACCCGCAGCACCTCTCTCTCCTCCTGACTGTCCACAGCTGCGTGCCCCTACTTACTTTTTCCTCACACTGCCCTCCCCAGAAACCATCCCTTCCTCAGGGGCCCCCACGTCCGTGCGTCCTTCTTTCTGTGCTTCCTATTGCACTAGGCTTCTGGGAAGTGAGCTCTGCAGCCCTATTCTGAAGGTTTTCCTCAAGAGAATCAGCCCCTTACCCAGCTCCTGACCAACCACAGGAGCCTAGAAGTAGGTTCTGAATGTTCCTCCGTTATGTATTCATGACTTCGAATGGCCTTCTTTCAGCTTCTCCAAGGCCCAACTCGGTCATCTCCTCTGTAAGGCCTCCCCCTTCTCAGTCTGGGTAAAATGAACCTTTCTTTGTCCTCCCACAGTTCTTTGTTTCATTATTATAGCAATTTATGTACATTTAGCAATTTACATGTTGCATTAGAGTTAATGGAGTATGTGCAGCCAAACATTCAGACTCTGAGACTACCATGGGCCCCACTTGGAACTAGTCTACTCAAAAGAATATGGACAAGAACCCCAGCTTGCCTACAAGGCCATGCTGGGCACTCCTGTCCTGCAGGAGTCCACATCAGGAATCACTCCCTTCACCACCCACAGGTGACAGCTCAGGTGCAAGGAGACAAGCTCGCTTTGGGCAGGTGCAGGAAATGCCATGGCTTTAAAAAAATCCCTCGTGCCCCAAGGGGCCAATACCTCTTGTAACAACACCCCAAGCAGAGCTTCCAGGGTCCCCGCAGGGACCATGTCCGAATAACAAGAGTATATTCAGGGAAGTCCAAAGCCACGGAGTCCATTTCTAGTCCCGCCCAGTCCAGTGGTAGCTTTCCCATCTGCGGGGCATGTTTATCATAAGCAATGTTGCCTAGTAACACAGTTACAACCCAGGAACCAGTTTACAGGATTATAAAGAACGTTTGTGTGTTCTGGTTTCACTGCAGTTACCAGTGTTGGTTCTTATGTTGATGTATTAGCTGAGATTTTTTTTTTCTTTTTTGAAACTTACATTTCCTTGTCTTTAATGAGATCAAACATTTTCTTCATCTGTTTGTTCTGTACTTACATTTCCTCTTTGGGAAATCATACATACATTTGTCCAATTATGTAGTGGGGTCTTTGAGATTGTTTTCTTGATTTGTATGAAGTCTTTACTTTTTCATATAATTTTAATTACACAGGAAATACATGAATATGCTCTTCTTCATAGAAAGTTCAGGCATTGTAGATAAAGCTTAAAATCCCTTCAATCGTATGAAGTCATTTTGCCCATTTGAAATTTATGATACGATGTGTGGATATTGGATCTAAATGAGTTTTCTAAAAATTGCTAAGCAATTAATTTATTAAACCATACTTGATGGATGCTAACTGAACTCACTGTGTTAATCATTTCACAATATATGCATATATCAAATCATTATGTTATATACCCTAAACTTATATAATACTATATCAATTATATCTCAATAAAACTGGAAAAATTGTTAATTAAATAATTTTAAACATATTTCTTTTCCACATTTATTTACAAAGCTTCATTTACCTTTAAAAAAATATTTAGCCATAGATTGGGGCTTACTCATTCTGATACTTTGATAAAGTCATTTGTTTTTGTGACACAGACTATATTTTAATCTGATGGGATTTATCTTCCTTTGGTTTTCAAATTTTTATTTTTACTTAATTCTGTATGTTAGTATGTATGTTTCTATGTTTTCTTGTCCACCAGGTGATTTTAAAGACAAATTTTTTTCTGCTGGAAATAAAGATGCTATTGATTTAGGTTTATTCTTTTGTATCCATTTTATTTTAAACTCTTTATCAGTTAAAACAGTTTCAATTGATTCCTCTAGAAATCTATGCTTTTTCTTATATCCAGTGCTACATTGAGAATTTAGTTTCATAAGAGTAGCATTCCCTTATTTCGAGAAGTATAACTACAGTTTTTCTTCTAGGTGGCAAATATTAAGAAGGAGACTCATATTGTGTGGTATAAAGATGAAAGGGAGATATCAGTGGATGAAAAGCATGACTTTAGGGACGGTATATGTACCCTCCTTATAACAGAGGTAGGTGACTATAAATATAAAATGTAATGTATTAGTTCTGTACCCTACATTCTTCTAAAATACAGAGACTAGATTATGTGTTCCTTTGCCCCGGGCAAAGATCCCTGCCCTGATGTCACACCAAAAGCAAGCTGTAAGGACACAAAGGCTTCTCTCACCTTGTGATATGCAAGGATTTGTCAGATATCCAAACAATGTTGTCTGGGCACCACAAATCTTGCCTCTCTGAGCTAGTTTTTTTCATAGATTGGGTGAGTGGCAGGACAGTTAAGTGGATCCTTCTTTGTTTGCTCTTAAGCCTCATGATAACTTGTTCCCTAAAGGTACAGAGACCATCATAGTATTCACTTAAGTATAGATTTTTATCTACTTTTTGTCTAAAAGAGCATGCCTTTCAAATACATGTGCTCATTAGTTTTTAATATGAAGGCAGAGTAAAAGATAAGGACTTTAAGCCTCAAATCAATTGTAGCCTTAGAGGGTGAAAACTCAGGACTGCTGGCTGGTCAGGTTATGATGGATAGTTCACCTGCAAACTGTTCATTGCTCTCATGGCTAGATGCTTGTTCAGTGTGTTTTGATGGCAGTTCTATAAATCTCAGGGCCTGAAAAATGCAAACACCATATTCTGAGGCTACAATAAGTTGTAATGTGGTATATCTATTCTCCCCTTAGTTTTCAAAGAAAGATGCTGGGATTTATGAAGTTATCCTGAAAGACGACAGGGGAAAAGATAAGAGCAGATTGAAGCTTGTGGATGAAGGTCAGTCCACCCACTGCTGGGGTCCATTCTGTGCGTTCTGTATACAGGTGACCAGAGTTCTGAGTGAGGCTGAGCTGAATGATTGAAGTCATGCTGATCTTCTGCCCACAGATTTTGTTTTAATTGCCATCCAGCTGAGCGAACTAGTGTTTTATTAAAAAATACTTCACTTTTAGTCTTCCTTGAAATCAGGAGTATAGTTTTGATCCTCAGAGAATTTATAGTCCACAATCCACGAGAGGTCTGTTTTCAATATAAATCATCATTTTTATTTCAACCCTATGAAAAATGTTCCAGGATCAAAAACTACCATGAAAGCATGTCCCAAAAGAGTCCACTCTCTAAAAGGTGGCAAGAAAGATTATATATGAAACTCGAAGCCTCTCAGTTAATAGCAGAGCAAGAAAGCAACTTCCATTTTCCAGAGACTACTGAGGACAATTATATCATGATAACGAAAACCTACATGGGATGCCCACATTTCCAGTTTTGTTCCTGAACAAGATCTTTAACAACGTTGCTAACGAACAGCAGATTTCCCTTCCTACTCCTTGTGGAGGCAGGACTAAATGTGTTTATTGGCTGAGAAATACCAGGGGGCCTAGATGGTTATTCATCATGAATTGATGACACAGATAAGAACACTTCCTCTAATGTAAATGAAGCCTTCCTGGGACTTAGGAAGATGAGAATCCTAAAACCAAGAAGCTTCCTGGAAATCTCATTGTGGCTTTTTCTCTAGAATGTAAACATGGTGACAGTTACAAAGAATTCAAGGGAGCAAAAATATCAAAATAAGAGCAGGAATCTTTTGAGACTTGATAAAAATTAAGTTCTTTGTTACCAATTGGTCAATAAATTCACCTTGTGACTGGATGTTTTTGAGAGCAAGTGTGACTAACAGTTTGAGATTTGACTTGACATTGAGCATTTTTATGCTAAAACTTTGTTTGTGAATCTCTATCCACAGCCTTTAAAGAACTGATGGCTGAAGTATGTAAAACAATAGGTAAGTTCTCACAGGGCAATGCTTCATTCTTCTCCAGGATGGGCTTACAGGTGTTTGAAATAATGTGTTTTCTTCTTGCAGCTTTGTCTGCAACAGACCTGAAGATCCAGAGCACAGTTGAGGGCATCCGGCTGTACTCTTTTGTTACTTACTACGTGGATGATCTCAAAGTTAACTGGTCCCACAAGTAAGTAAATAACAACGTAAATGCTGTGTAGAAATTCTTTCTCCACTCAGGGGAAGGACTGGGAAAAACAACAACCCTCTGTTCCTCTCAGGTAAGGCATCTTCTTACTTCTCGGGTCTGATGTTGATGAGTGTAGGACAGAAGCACCAGTCCATCCCTTTAGTGTGAGGTTAGCACTCTCCCTCAGCACGTACATGGTGAGGCCAGCGATGGCTTAAAGCCTCTGTCTTTGTGATCTGGGACGTATCATAACTTGTAGACGCCTCAGTAACGTGACCTCTGCCTCCGTACAGTCATGCTTTGCCAGATTCTTATTCCATCTTTCTACACACTCGTAAGCCACGCTGTGCTCTGGAACAAAACTGAGGCAGCATTGCACCAGATTTCCTATTGTATGAATTAATGGCCAATGACCCAATAAGCCTGATCTAGAGCAGTGCCCGAGTTTATCATCGTTGTTGTTCATAGCAGTTGGCAGAGTGGGTATTAGCATGTTTCCTTGGAAGGCTTTGGAGATCTCAAGATGACTTTGGGAACGTGTATTTGAACTGGATTGAGCCTGAAGATCTGTTCTAATCCCAGGCTTCCTTTGCGCAGTTACAGAGGGATTTCACTCAAGCTTTCCTTGGGGATTCCAAGAGCTAACATAGGTTTCTTAGTCAAACCAGGTGTCCCACTTATAGCATCACCAGGGTCCTTTATCTCTGTGCTTCCTTGAAATTTCCTGAGCTGAAAGAGGACAGCAGGCTGCCAAAGAAACCTGGTGGGGCACATGTACCTTTAGTCCACTCTTGGGATGCAGCAGATGCCAATTCCCGAAGTCCTTATGAGCCTCACTGAGGAGAAGGTCGCCGTGGCATCCCTGGGAGGATACGGACAGCAATGTTTATTTAGATCTTCCCTTCAGTGGACATTTACAATACGCTGGGCACTGCTCCAAGCCCTTTAGATATGTGAATTCATTTAATATTCAAACTCTATGAGGTAGGTTCTTCTAACTTTAGTGACTAGGAAGCTCAGACTCAGGGAGGTGACTTGCCTGAGGTCACACAGCTATGTGACAGGTGGAGGGCTGAGCCCAGGCAGCCTGGCTCCAGAGCCCCCGCCCCATCACGGCAGTACCCCGGGTTCAAGTTGCATTAAAAGTCTAGACTGAACATTTAAGCAGAGCTGGGTCACACAAAACAGTCATTTGTGTTTTCTCTAAAATGACTTCACTGTTTTAGAATAATATTTTATTATGTTTATTATCATTACTAATAATTCCCCGAGTTCTTTAAAAAAAAAAAATGAGAACAAGTGAAATTCCACTTTGAATGCTTGGAGTTTCATTCCTTTGTTCTATTTCTTTCAGAATACATTTTAGGAAAGTAATTATAAGTTAAAAAAGATCAAATTCTAGGAAATTCCTCCGTGACATCTAGGACATTCTAATATATCCCTCTGAAGAATGAGACAATAAATTAATTGAATCATCAATCAAAAGGCTTTACATCATCTCTAAAAGAATACATGTTCAAAAAAATTAGAACATTGGGTTTTGAGGAAACTGCTACCAGAGTAGCAAGACATAAAATTTGTTTGGTCTAGTCAGCTAAATGCGTGTTTTGTGTGTACACACATGTGTGCCTGTTGAAGGTTCAGGATCCAAGGATTCCCTGTCTTTATGTAAGTATGTGGTGTGATGAGGAAAAAAACCTTAAAACGGGTTCGGATCTTCACTTTGCTCCTGTCTTCCCTTGGATCTTAGACAAATCATCTGATTTTCTGAACCCCAGGTTTCTCCCGTATAAAATAGGAGCAATAATACCTGTTCTAGCTCATAACGCTGATGGACCCAATGAGAGAATGAATGGCATTTTGTGAACCGTGAAGTGCTTTACAAACCTAGTACCTATTAAGGTACTATTGTGCATATTAGCTAGAGATTAAAGAACTCAGACAGACTTACCATTAGCAAAGCTGAGAACTATCTGTCTTTCTAACTCTCTAAGACATATACTATATTGCTCAGGCTAACGTCTATGTGTACAGATGGGTTCCTTTACCCTACATTTTATGGCACTTTAATTTTAATATCTTTTAAAGAATGTAGTATATAAGAAAAATGCTGAATATTTATTTGAGGTCTGAAATTTTTTTGGTGGAGATTTTTTGGGTTTTATTTTTTTAAGTTCATTTTGTTTATTATAACCACAAACATAATACATGTTTTAGAAAATATATTTAATATCATATTACAAATTAGAAAGAGTTTATACTATGGTATCATCCATGGTTTTCCTAGCCATAGTATGAACATTTTGGGGTACTTACTCCCGGTCTTTTCTCTATGCATAATTGTTACCATAATAAAGTAGTTTTGTATACTGCTTTTTTTTCCTTACTTCCTCACGTTTACAAACTCTTCATAGAGTTTATTTTAACATCATTGAGAGTACACTACCTCTGCCTTCCTCTTACTTCATCTGTAACAGTAGCATTTCTAGACTGTCAGATGAAAGGGTTCTATTTGCTTTTATTCTCTTGTAAAGAGTACAATGCATGGGTATGCTCGTGACCTACTATAGAATATGGGGAAACTCACGTCCAGGGTCAGAGAAAGTGCCTCATTCATTCTGACAGCAACTCTGCTTTTCATTTATTCTTGGCTGTACTACTGAGTGCACATTTACGTTTGTTTTAAATAGCTTTGTAACCATGTGTGTCAATAGATGTCAGCCACAGATGAACCTCTTTAGGTCTGTTTTTAACTAGCCTGTAAAATCCCATTTATAGCCACGGACCATCTGCATGAAATATGCAGTAATATAATATGGACTTTGGCCTTCTCACTTTAAAGATTCCCTTAGTCCTGCAAATAAACCTGAGTGGAAACAAAGATAATTAATACCCCTGAGAAGTATTGGTGCTACAATCTGGGCCCCAGACTACTGTTGGGAGTGAAATGTGCAGACTGCCAGACCCCCACCCCAGGCCTTGGAATCCACGCTCTGTGATTCACGGCCCATAATTTCTCTGAAGCAGAAGAACATATGCTGATCCCATGTTATTTCAAAGTCTGTACAACTTTATGGTAAGACCTTCAGTAAGAAGAGACAAAGTAAAGATAAGCTCTGGATGAAAGCCAATGATTACGATGTTTTCTTTTGATAAAAACAGCGGGACTGCTATTAAGTACACAGACAGAGTTAAGAGTGGGGTCACCGGGGAGCAGATCTGGCTGCAGATCAACGAGCCCACTCCGAATGACAAAGGGAAATACGTGATGGAGCTCTTTGATGGCAAAACTGGACACCAGAAGACAGTGGATCTTTCTGGACAAGGTAAACGGATATTCTGCAGGTTGGAACCTACTGTGGAGATGAGGGCATTTTAAAAAGAATGAAGTGTGATAAGAGGGCATTATGCTTGACTATTGGAAGATGATGGGAGATTTTAATAAAGCAGTTTAAATTCAGCCACAGTGGCAGAAACAAAAATTCAATGAGTGGAGAATCAGTAAAAAATAAAGTGGAGACAGTGAACGTGGAGAGAAAGCGCTGCTCTTCCAAGATGCTTACAGAGAAGGGCAGGTTGATTTACAATCAACTGAGCAAGAACAAACACTGAAAAAGGATCATTTTATGGTGACTGAAAAGCGAGCATGTTCATAGAGTCCAAGAAATCGGTTGATTTGGAAGGACTGGAGATGTGAATGATGGGGAATAATTGATGTCTCAGGGTTCTGAAGAACAGAAGCTTGGAGTTGCGGGTCAGAGGTGAACGCAATGGCTTTGGGAAGGAGCAGGGATACCTTTTCTTCAGAAACCAGAAAGGAGTAAATGTGAATAAGCAGAGATAAATATTGAGGGGAACAGAGGGAAGTTAGGAAAGTGGCCTCAGATTTCTCAGCCTTTTGGGAGAATGAGGGGCTCTGGAAAGAATAGGGACACATGGAAAAGAAAGTAATGAGATGCAGAAGGCACTTTTCCATCTAAGAACAGACAGGAAAGGTGATATGCAGCTATTAATTAGAACTTTAAAAGTTAGAAAATGTACAATCACAAATAAAAAGTTAAAAACCCTGTGCCATTTCTGCCTCTTCTGGTACTTTGCTCATCTTACTCTTTCCTGAAGAAAGAAGGAGTTTGTATGAAGTTACCAAAGGAGACTGTGGGCTGACTTTTCCTCTATGGCTTCGTGTATTAAAATGCAATGACTCTTCACGTTTTCATCCTCAGAGTAGACTCACAACTTAGAGAGCAGCCTTTCAACCCTGCCCCAGGTTGTTTTGGGCTGAGTACCCCTCCCCTCACCCCCACCCACCCTTTATGACTGGAAAGGCTCCCTGAAGGATCTCTGTGGGGATGAGCAGCTCCCCAGGGACTTGGTCCCCCGGCCACGCTGTGCCCGAGTCACACCCTGCAGAGATGGTGATGGGGAATTGCTTCTGCGATCCATCTGACACTTGGAGACACAATAGAAAAGGGAGACAAGAAGTGGGCAGATACATTCAAAATTTATTTAAAATTTGCTTTTACTCTCTGCTCACCGAAGCTCATTTAACTACCCCGCTCTCAAATCCCCCTTAAGCAAAAGGCCCCTGGATTGTCTGACCAGCGTTGCCACTGGCACCAAACACACTGGCTCAGCCGTGCCCATCTCCTTCTAGTGTGGCATGAGCAGGAAAAGCAGCCCTAACTAGCCTGCCTTAGCCCAGCTGGTCTAGAGGCTTTAAGCCTGGCTTTACGCTTATTTTTTCCTTCTGTAAGGAAGAGAGCAAACTAGTATTATGGACATATTTTCTAGACATAAAATGTTGTGATTCCCAGACCAGAGGAGCTGAAAGACCAGGTGAGGGAAATTTAAAAGTGAAACTTTATGGCCTGAAGTCTTCCAAGTGCCTTGCTCACAGGGAAAACAATAATTACCTTAGATAATTACCTTAGAGCTCCATAGCTCCCATTTCCTTGTCTCCCTGTCTTGTTTCCGTCTCCTGCACAGTGTAAAAGCATCGCTTCAGGCCCGCACTGGCCCGCACTGTGATCGTAGTAATTCCTCGTGCCCTTTACCGCAAATGCATGGGCAGGACCACAGAACTGTCCGGCTAGGAGGCTGTGACGTGCGGGATGATTTAATGAGAGAAAAGCTTTTCTGATGCTCAGGATGCTTAATACACAACCAATCATTTTTTGAAACAGACCTTTCTTTCCATTTCATCTTCGGCAGAGCAAATCTTTCCCTTTCTATTTGGAGGGTTGAAGGCTTCTCACTGAATTGAGAGCTTCTAAAATCCACTATTTCATGCTTTCTGCCTAGAAAGTGTTTGCTTCTCTTGTTAAGCCCATCAAGTTGTAGAGGGACCGCTTGGGCGCAGCCTCATTCAAAGCCAGCTGAATTTTGTCTGGACCACTTACACTGCCCTACACTGGTCTATTAAAAGTTGTGAGCTTTAATAGACCCCTGTGTGTGGCCAGTTCTGGGAGAGAAAATTCTAACTTCTCTTTTTTGTCTCTTCAAGCATACGACGAAGCCTTTGATGAATTCCAGAGATTAAAGTAAGTCCCTCTTTCCCAGCGATGCCACGGGCACTCTTGTCTCTGATGCGTGCTACTCCCCATTGGCTGTCAGAGGGTCTTTCATTCGGGCAAGCGCAGTCTGAGCAGCATTTCCTGCCGCTTTGTTGAGCAGCAAAGACATGAAATGCAGTCGAGGTTGGCTACTTTGAAGTAACACTAAAACAAAATCCTTCTTTGTGTGTTTGTTTGTTTCTCTCAACCACAGACAAGCTGCCGTCGTGGAGAAAAGTAAGTAAACCCCTTCGTGTTTATTCCTGGTGTGGTTTCAAAGTACAACTTTTGTTTTTCTGTTATGACTGCAGATGTAGGAAAGTGAAAGCATTTTTTTTTCCTTTTCTTTCATTTCTCTCTCTATATTTTAAATCTTAGGTGTTCTGCATGTGTTTTCATTTAGTCTCTTCAGTAAGAATGTCTGTGAAAAGAAGGTCTCAGGTTACACTGTGAGAATGGCACCCAGCCTTGACTTGAAACATCTCTGGGCTGCAAATCACACAGTAGGATTTTACTCGCTTGCAGCAGGTGCCATGTATCAGAAAAATGTATATGTTAAAGAGAAGAAAAAATAGGAAACTTTGTACGTTTGGTATCAGGTAAATCGCTATAGCTGGTTCCCCAGCAAGTAGTCCCATTTTCCTGAGGGGCCGAATAAGGCTGAGTGACCCTGACCCAGCAGTCAAGCCTGTGTCCCTAAAACTGTGCTGACTCCTGACCTCTCTCAACCATGCTTCACCCAGAGATTTCTAGAACTCAGTCTACAGGATCCCAGGAGTCACAGACGAATCATCGTGATAATTCAGGTTCTTTCTCAGTGTGGGAGCAGAACCTGAAAACCGTTGAGGGTTAAAGTTGTAGGGTTGGCCCTGAGCTGGGTGGAAGGGAACCAGGAGGAAGAGTGAGAAGTGGAGTTGTCCACCTGTCAGTGGCTCCTGGTCACTCAGAAGGGAACTTTTCACCTTTGACCTACAAGGCCTTCCTCCCTCCTTCCCCCTCCTTCCTCCCTCCTGCTCCTGCCCGGGGCTTGTGAGGCCGAGGCCAGCACCAGGCACAATGGGAGAGTGTCAGAGCCAGAGCCAGGCCTCGCCCATTCTTGAACTCTCTTGTGGACAAGAAGCCTGACCCTCCCTCTGCTTCATGAGCTCCTTCCAGAGGTCTCTGGACCACAGCAGCTTAGAGCCGCAGGAGACCTGAGAGCCCTTCTAGCTCCATGTTCTTAAACATTTGCATAGAACACTTAGTTCAAACAAAATCTTCCCAATATATAAAATAGGTAAGAGCTGAATTATCTTCGGTAGAGTCAGGAGGAATCCCATGGATGCCGCGGAGCAGAGTTTAGAAGCTTCGTGTCCTTGGGTTTAACGCAAGCCCCCCGCCCCACCGATGAGGACACTGAGGTCCACACAGCGACGTGACTCAGCTAATACCACGCGGCAGGTGGTGCAGGGGGCCAGGTGATGGGCTGGGCCCACAAGTGGTGTAAGGGCAACGGAGTCAGCAGGAGAAGGCAGTTAAGACTCATTCAAAGATTTGGCCTGACTTACTGGAGAAGGGATTATATTGATAGAAATAAGGATGTAGAGTCACACATTCATTGAAGTAGGCTAAAAATGAGAGGGTGGTGGCTACTGCGTTAGTGTTGACTGAATGACAGAAAGGTGTCCTTCCCTGGGGCCGAGGCAGTCACAACCACAGCACAAGGCTTGCGGGGGAGGGGGGTGGGTGTCAGCCCTGGATTTCAGCACCCTTCCCACCCCCTGTCCCCTCAGCCATAGACAGGAGCTCTGCAGAGCATCTCAAGAACTCCCGGGAGATGAGGAAGGGGAACTCTCTAGGGAAGGCCCCAAGGAAGGCCCACATCTTCTCCAGCCTCCAGATCTCCCTGGCACACAGCCTCCGGTTATGCAACCTTTTCGAATCAGAGAGAAGCCCATGAAAGAGGCCAAGATCTGCTCTGCCTCCAGGAGAGCCAGGGCTGAGAATAGCAGGGAAAGTTACAGAGCAGATCCCGATACAACAGAGTGACCTCAAGTTGACATTTCAGGTACAGCTAGAGGCACCCGTGTGTGAAGACGAAGGACACTCAGAATTACTGGATCATTTTCTTACTTTGCATATTGAAAGCAGGCATAAAATAACTGCACGGACAGGGAAACTAAACAGGAAAATGAGTTCCGCTGGGTGGCTTTGTGCGTGTGATTGCTGGCGCTCATCGTTTCAGTGATTAACCAGAAATGCCTGTGCTTGCAGATCGCGCCCGGGTAGTGGGAGGTCTCCCCGATGTGGTCACCATCCAGGAGGGCAAGGTAAGCATGGAGCACTCCTGTCCCCAATTCTTCCACGCTAGGAAGGGGTTCCAGTGCCCCAGACTTTGTTCCTTCTTTTAAGATGCATCCTACCATCTTCATCATATGCCACGGCTGCTTACGCCTGACTTCAGAATAGCCACGTACCAGGTTCAAAATGCAGTCAGTCTTCCACTCAGCTTAATATTTTGTAGGTCAAGCATCAGGATGCACGTTTGTCTGATGTGGGTATGTGTAGACCTCTTAGTCTCTTTCCAGAAGTGATTTCCCTTTAACATCAGAGAAGCAGAAAATGTTCAGTCATAACTATGTGATGAACATAATTGAAGAGGCAACCTCTCACACTAGGAGAAAATGGGCTGACCTATGAGATTCCTCACCTTTGGAGGGAAACGTGCTGCTCTGTGAATTTCTACAGGCCCCTTCTCAGCTGAAAACTGATTTATTTCCATTTGGTTTTAAACTGGTATTTCTTGGATCCATAAGAATCTCTCTGAAGAGCAGTGAACGTAATTTCTAACCTGGATTCACTTACTTCATCCCTGTGTTTCATTAAAACAAATTTAATGTGCCAGTCACAGGAGGAGGGGTGTTTGTAGTGGAACAACATCTTTTCCCACCTCCAAAGAGCAATGAAGACGTATGATGGGTGACTGGGACTATGATGATGAACAGGGCACATCTAAGGCTTTAATGAGAGGTCAGTTCATCCAGCTGTGTTTCTTTGTGCCTGGAAAATAGGACCACAGTTGACTTTAAGCTCAACTGCTGCAGGGTTGCTTCTGTTTTGAAACTCTATTTTCCATTTTCTTCACCTAATGAGGTTCAAAATATTCAACTCACTGGGTGGTAGTGAGAATTAAGAGAGAGAATGTATGTGAAAGCATTCCGTGATCTATAAATCAAATATATAGTACAGGTGATAGTTTTCCTGGACACCTAAGGTGCATGGGAGCTTTGTTTAGTTTTGATAAAAGTTTTAATATGCACGAAATCACAGTTTCCCGGAACATATATGTGGTCTGCTTGGATAAGTTTAATGTCGATAGTTTGACTCATATTTTTCTTGCTGAAATGTGTTTGCAGAATAATTAAGTCAGAAGTGCTAATTAATCATGGGAAGAAAACAAATTTCTTAATATCTACCCAATTCTAGATACTCTTACAGAAGAGGTAACAAGTGATCATATAAGGTCCTTCTAGATAGAAGGCTGTCCATTTCCCTGTATATGCTGAGCCCTAGCTCTTTTCCTTATAATTTCTGGACTTCGGTAAGAAAAAAAATGCAAGAATGGAATTTAAAATGTGCAGTAAATCTAACATCTTTGGTCATCAGGAAAATGGAAATTAAAACCACAATGAAATATCATGACACACCTATCAGAATTGCTAAAATAAAAAGACAGTGACAACAACAAATGCTGGTGAAGATGCAGAGAGACTGCATCAGTCCTACATTGCTGGTGGAAATGTAGACCAAAATTATACAGCTACTTGGGAAAGCAGTTTGGCAATTTCTTAAAAAAATGAAATATACATTTACCATATGACCCAGCAATTGTACTCCTGGGCATTTATCTCAGAAATTAAAACTTATGTTCACATAAAAATCTGTACACAAATGTTCATAGCAGCTTTATTCATAATAGCCCCACACTGGAAACAGCCCAGATGACCCTTACAGGTATATACATACCATGGCACACTTCTCACCAATAGAAAGGGACAAACTATTGATACCTGCAATAACTTGGATGAATCTGCAAGGAATTATGCTCAGTGTAAAAGGCACTCTCAAAACGTTACATTACTGTATGATGCTATTTATATAATGCTTTGGAAATTATAAAGTTTTAGAAATGGAAAACAGATTAGTGGTTGCCAGGAGTTAGGAACAGCTTGGGAGGGAGAAGTGGGCGTGGTTATAAAGGGACAGCAGGAGGGATCCTTGTGGGGATGGAAAGGTTCTGTATCTTGACTGAGGTTGTGGATACATGAACCTAGACAGGTGATAGAATTGAATAGAACTAAACACGCACAAATACAAGAAAAACTGGGGAAATCTGTTATATCAATGTCAGTGTACTGGTTGTGATATTATACTGTAGTTTTGTAAAATGTTACTATTGGGGGAAACTGGGTAAAGAATATACAAAATCTATTATTTCTTATACTGTGTATGAATCTATGATTATCTAAAAAATATTTCAACAAAAATATAAAGTAAAATTATAGGCCTAAACATTGATCTTTTAAAATAAGAGGGTTTCAGCACAGTTGGTAATATAATAAAATATTAGGAACTACGAATACATTCTGGCAGGGCACCTCTGCAACTGCAACAGCTCGAGTGGGTTTGGGGGGAGAAATAAAATGAGGAAGATGGGATATGAAAATGAGTCACATTATCTGAAGCAGCTGTTAGGATTCTTATGCTGGGCCCAGTGACACCAACGAAATGCAAAAGCAAGCAGGTGGAGATCATGGCAACGAGGAGATTTCTCCACTGAGACAGAGTCCAAAACGCCGCGTTAGAGCAAAAAGGCATCTGTGTGTTTATGGGAACTGGAAGCAAATGCCTTTGTGGGGCTTTGATGATAAATGTTCCCAAAGCCAGAAAGCCAAGGCCCCAAAGAAACCTACTCAGGTGTGATTTCAAACTGTAACTCACACAGGTGCACACAGCCCGGCCCGGGAGGTTTAGGCTTATCCTCCATCGGGTCCGGCCGGCCCCCAGAAGGACGCTTCAAGTTGCATCGTTAATCTGATACATCTCCTCCCCTCTCATGAAACCTGTCTTCCAGGCGCTTAACCTCACCTGCATAGTGTGGGGAGACCCGACTCCGGAGGTCTCCTGGCTGAAGAACGAGAAGCTCTTGGCCTCGGACGAGCACTGCAGCCTCAGGTTCGAGGCCGGCAAGACCGCCTACTTCACCATCAGTGGGGTCAGAACGTCCGACTCGGGCAAGTACGGGCTGGCCGTGAAGAACAAGTACGGCTCGGAGACCAGCGACTTCACCGTCAGCGTGTTCATCCCGGAGGAGGAGGCGAGGAAGGCCGCCGAGGAGCGCCCGAAGGGCACCAAGAAGGCCAAGTGACCGGAGGGCGAGTGGGCCGAGGGGGCGAGCCACCCCGCCCTGCCTCGGGCTACGTGTGTGCGAAGGGCTCGAGCTGAGCGCGAGGAAGTCTCCGTGCTTCCTTCTCCCTATTTGTGTGCTGGCTTCGGGGTCGGGGGGATTGTCAAATCTTTATTCATATAAGAAAGCACCAACTAACGACATTTTAATCGTTTTTCTTTACCTACAAATTGTGTTAAGAAAATAACACTGGTAGCGCAAATATTAGGAAACAGTTTTAAGGCAAAGACCAGGATAAAGTCAGAGGGCCGTTGAATGGGGGCGGGAGGCACGTGCCGCGGAGCCGTCTGGACCCGGCCAGCCTCTCAGCAGTCAGTTCTCCCTGTTCGCAGTGAGGCGGCAGCATCCAGTCAGACGAGACAAGCTGTTAAGTCACCCAGTCTGTGTCGTGTGTTGTAACAAGAGCCGTGTGCGTTCTGTGGGCGGCCTGGTGATTTGGAAGCTCTCGGTCCTAATAAACAGTTCACACCCCTCCGCTCCCCCGTCAGTGCTTCTCTCCTTCTTACTGGTTTCGCTGCCCAGCTGGGTGGCCTCCGCTGGGTGACCCTTCCGGCCTCTTCTTGTAACACGTCTTCTGAACTTTCAGTTCCTTGTGGTTGAAGCAGTGCCTCCACGATGCAATCACACGAGGCGTCCCGGGTCGCCTGAAGCTCGGAGGTGTGAACCTGCTCCACCACTGTGCATCTGGTAGCTCACCAGGCGACCCGTCAGGGCTCTTCCCTTGTTAAGATACCCGGAGCCACCGAATGTAATGTGTCAACAGAGGATAATAAGACGGCGTGGGGCGGCTAGCGCCTGAATTGGCGACTAAGGCCACAGCTGAGAATAAAAGGCACTACAGGATGGTCACTCTAAGTTCAGAGAACTGCCAGCTCGGGGGCCTGCCCCTTGCGGCAGCGTTTCTGCTTGAGGGAATTTGGGCCTTCCCCACCCCTACCCCTAACCCCCAACCACCACACACACACACACACACACACACACACACACACAACACAGGAGGAAAAGAGTAACTGTGAAAGCCACCCCTGCCTTCGTCCTGTCAAGGGTCAGGGATGGGACAACAGACTCCCTCACACAGTTTGGAGGGGCACCTACACATCCACTCCCTTGCAAAGACCAGGACTGCAACTTGCCTCTCACCCGACTGTAGCTCCCACTATTGCCCTGACGCCGACCACCGACAGGAGTGAGCTGCTGCCCTCCCACTGTCAGACACGGCAGGTGGATGTTTCCCGGGGCCCCCTGGACCCTGCAGAAAGTGCCGGCCTGAGCAGGCTGACCTCCTCCTCCCAGGACGAGTGGACCCAGAAGGAAAGTGTTTAATTATCTAAAACATTACAAGTACATAAAAATCAAATATGCACAGACTCCATAATGCAAAAATACTCATTTTACCTAGATGTAGCCCCTAGAGCCTGAGACTGGAGTTCTAATACCCATGCCAGAATGAGAGGCATGGATTCGGATTGTTTGCGGTGGGGAACTGCACACCAAGACCTCAGCACGGCGCTGGGATGCACAAACGGTGGTTTAGACAAAAAAAAAAAAAAAACAAGGATAGTAAAAATATCACCAGCTGACATGGAGAAGCTCTACTGAAGCTCGCCATCTGCCTGGGAGTGGTTCTGGGGAGAAACAAAGTTAACGGGTTCCTCAAGCCAGTACTGCGCACTCGTGGGGTCCACATTTACAGCAAGCACCACATGGTATAGGTATCCCAAGCCAAGAGTTCCCATAAAAATGGCCAGTGTCTGGGCCCCAGAGAAGCAAATGTAAAACGACACTACAAGAAACTTCTGTGTCTGCCCACAAAGGATTGCTGTTATGGAAATTATTCTCCCACCATAAACAACTAGAAAACCAGGCACAATATATGTGGAAAAAAACTGTTTGGGGTGTTGGCTAGTGAACATGCAGGGCTGTGATGCCCCAGAGAAAGGGAAACAGTAACGAAAGACCTGTGATTTCTCCAACTTGGTGCCTAGACAGTGTTCAGGCTGCAGTCCAGCCAGGGGGACCAAGAGAGAACCTGTCAGTCTCACTGAGTTGAGGAGTTAGAGACTGAAGTTCAAGGAGGCTGAAGTGGCTGGGATTCATAGGAAAGGGCAATGGAGGGAAGAGTTGCACAGAGAGGAGCCACAACTACTGAGCCCACGTGCTGCCACTACTGAAGCCTGCGCTCCTAGAGCCCGTGCTCTGGGAAGAGTTGCACAGAGAAGAGCACGGGCTGCAGCAGACAGGTCTCTGGCTGAGCGCTGCTCTGTGAGTGCGGGAGAACCCTGGGAGGTGGGGGGACAAGGAGTCCTGGGAGCTCACACAGACTGGGAGCAGTTCTCCTTCCCACCAGCCGGAATGAAAACGTTCAATGTAATACATGGAATATTGGGTAGAGGCTTCAGAAGTTGCTCACCTTAACAGTGGGGCTAAATTAACTCTAACTGAAAGCTGCCCTGGACACACCCTCACAAAGTTTGAAAGCAGGCCTCCAGAGGATCAAATATCTATGGTCACCTAATAGTGTGTCAGGACAAAGTGCAGCACACTTTAAATGAATGCATCATCCAGCAGTGTGAAATTCGTAACAGCTGGCATCCAATCAAAATCAGCAGGTGTGCAAAGAAGCAAGAAAATATGATTGATAACCAGGAGAAAAGTACGTTAAAGATAAGTTCTGTGGATGTAATGTACAGCATGTAAATATTATTACAATAGTTAATAATACTGTACTGCATATTTACAAGTTCCTAAGAGAGTAGATGGTAAAAGTTCTCATCACAAGAAAAAGAAATTTGTAACTATGTGAGGTGTTGTTAACTAAACTTATTGTGGTAATCATTTCACAATATATACATATGTCAAATCATCATGTTGTATACCTAAAACTAATACAATGTTATATGTCCACATATCTCAATAAAACTGGGAAAAATACTTTATACACAAGTTTTATGGAAGTACCAAGAACAATTCATTATTAATACAATTTGAGCAGATAATGAAAATTCAAAATAATTTTTAGTCATTTTTAACACAGTGCAATCCCAACAGCAAATGTAATCATAATTTCAATAAAAGATGCTTGAAATATGATGAGCTATGTGTATATAAGTTATTTGTTGGTAGCTTATAGGTGTGTAACTTGAAATGGCATTGCTATAGTTTTATGATCACTAATCTAAGTTAGCAGAAGTCCACAATCTAATAAAATGATACATGAGGAAAAAAAGTATATTAATAAAAACAAAGCCAGAAATGACAGAGATGATTGAATTAGCAGACATGGACCTTAAAACATCTGTTATAACTATATTCTATATTTTCAAGAAGCCAGAGGAAATACTGAATATGTTAAGTAGAGACATGGAAGAATACCAAGGCATATCATAATGAATTTGCTGAAAAACATTGGTAAAGAGAAAATCTTAAAAGCAGCCAGAGGGAAAAAGACAAATTATGTACAGAGGAACAAAAGTGAGACTTAACGCAAGACTTCTCATGAGAAGCTATAAAAGCCAGAGGACCGCGGAGTGAGATCTTTGAAGTGCCAAGTAAAAAGCAAACCAAAAACTCTCAACCTAGCATTCTCTACCGACTGAAAATATTATTTAAAAATTAAGGCAAGGACTTCCCTGGTGGCGCAGTGGTTGAGAATCCGCCTACCAATGCAGGAGACACGAGTTTGAGCCCTGGTCCGGGAAGATGCCACGTGCCGCGGAGCAACGAAGCCCACGCGCCACAGTGACTGAGCCTGTGCTCTAGAGCCTGCAAGCCACAACTACTGAGCCCACGTGCTGCAACTACTGAAGCCCGCGCCTAGAGCCCGTGCTCTACAAGAGAAGCCACCACAATGAGAAGCCTGCGCACCGCAACAAAGAGTAGCCCCCGTTGGACACAACCAGAGAAAACCCGTGCACAGCAACGAAGACCCAACACAGCCAAATATAAATAAATAAATTTATTTTTAAAAAAATTAAGGCAAAATACTTTACAGTATCTGTCAAACTAAAGCGGAGAGGTCCGCCACCAGCAGATCTGCACTGTAAGACATGTTCAAGGAAGTTCTTCGGACAGAAGGTAAGTGGCATCAGATGGAAATTCAGATCAACAAAGAATGAAACGTAGCAGAAGTGGCAAATACGTGGGCAAATATGAAGTACATTTTTCTCATTTGTATTTTCTTCTTGCTCCTAATGCACCTCTGCCAGAGGCACCCTGGCCCGGCCTGGTACCCAGCACCTGTACTCCCTCCACCCGGACCCTGGCCAGCCCTAGGGTTCCCAGGCCTCAGCATTAGTACCATCAGAGGCGCTGCTTAGGGACAGATGCAGTCCTGCCAGGATAATGTGCCAACCTTTCATCCCTCTAGTCTCAGGAAGTCCAACCTTACCCAGGGCTGGACCACTCAGGAGGCTCCTGCAGTGTCTGCATGAGAGCAGCGGCCGAGGAGATGAGGATGCACTGACCAGAGAGACGTTTCGGAGGTAAATGGGCAGGGCTGGGGTGGAATTGCTCAGGAGGACTCACCTACCTACCCTCTGCCTTGAGTAGCTGGATGGGTGGTGCGTCCTCTGAAAGGGGAGCAGCCCAGAGATAGAAGGAGCCATGTGAGGCGGGGTCGGGGGCGGGGAGGGTTGCATTACAGCAAAATTGTGAGTTTCCTAAAAGCTCGGGTAGGGTAAGAAATTACTGCTTTTAGAAGATATAAGGTACAAAAAGCCTTGACTGAAAGAGAAGGAAGCAGTATGAGATGAATGACCAGAAAGCAGCAGAGGATGATGCTTAAATGATTACTGGGCTTGCATTCTCAGAACAAATAAAAGAGAAAGTGGGAGTTAAAGCACTGGGAACTATGAATCCTTATACTGTACGTTAAAACAAAACAAAAACTTTCCCATCTTTGTGGTGCATCAATATACCAACATCAGGAAAGCAAATCTTGTACAATAGAGGAATTACACTCC